TACTTAGTCTTTTTGGTACTAAGGAGTGGAAGTTACCAAAGCCAGAGCCTGATATACTCAACCCAGAGAGAACTCTTTTTTTCGGTGAGTGATAAACTCTAAAGCTGTTGGCAAGTAGCATATGAGAACTACTTCTAAACGACAGTTGCCATCCCTGCAGTGAGTGATAAACTCTAAGCCTATCAGCAGGTAGTGTATGAGAACTACCTCTAAACGATAGGTGCTGGCTTATGGTTTTATTCATTTCACCAGGTGTATTGTATATCGGGTTTTTTGTTTTTTGAGTTGGATTCTTCCCAAAAATTTCGGTACGAGGGATCGTCGGTGAGAGTTGAATAGCACTTTTTTGAAAACATAGCATTTTATGAGTAGATTTTGAAGGCTTATATTTCTATAATTTTTTTTTAAAGCTGTTTTTTTTTTTTTTTATTAGTAGATAGTCAATTACTTGAGTAATCTATATCTACAAATTTTTAGAATAAATAATTTTTTTCTGAAAAGTTTTATATGAACAACGCTTAGATGTGTCATAATACCCTCCCTTCCCTTAATAATAAAAAAAATATGAGTAAATTAAATACGATTCAAATAGCAAAATCTAAATATAAAGATTAAAATATAGCTCATTTCAAGTATGCAGTATCAATTGACAGCTTTGCTGAATATAACTAGATTTCTGTATCTAAGATAACTAACAAAGGGTATGAGTAGCACAAATTATATATTATAAAAAAAATTTTAATATTGAAATAATTTTTATTTTATGCAAGAAAATTTTCATAAGTTTTACCGCATGATTTTATTAATAAAATAAAAATTCATATGTATCAAATATTAGATTAAAGACCAATAGTTTTAATTTATACTTTAATATATGTTTTACACCAATACTATGATTGAAATCGACTAATGATATAATAAAACAAACTTCGAGTTAGTATACAATTTTTATCTATTGTAATTAGTTATGATTATATCAAAGTTAATTAAACAAATCTATAAGAATAAAATCAAAATTATAAATATTTCAATCATATATTACTTTTATTTATTGTAATAAAAAAAACTTTATTATTTAATAAAATATAAATTAAAGATAATATCGATCTTTTTTGCAATTTTTAAAATACAGCGTCCGATTAAATTGTTCCAAATCATTCTATTGGGGACTTGTGATATTTTTTTTAGAGAATTTGAATTATGTTGTGCCAGTATGTTGTATTTCTATTTAACAAAAATAACGAAAGTTGGTTCATAAAAGTTTGCAGCTTTGTTGCTGTCATGGTGAATATGGACATAACTGTTGACAATATGATCGCCATCTATCAACAATAACATTGTTCTCATTGCTTCATAAAACTGCTTTAATACATTTATATTATTTTAGGAAATTCGTCTAAATTAAAAATAATAATGACGATTTGCACAAAATTTTTTTAAATCTTTTTGGCATATTCTCTTAAGTCTTTTATATAAATTATTAAGATCGGTAAAATGTTCTTTTAAGAGATTCATAATATGTCTCAAATAAGATGGTGAACCTTAATTGTGGGCTTCTTAGAGTAGGATTGTTGGATGGGTTGGATGGGTTGGATGGACTGTTGGATGAATTGTTGGATGGGTTGGATGAGTTACTTTACATAATAAAAATAAAATTATATTAATATAATGAAATAAAAACATAATATAATAGCAGAAACAGAGGTGAAAAAGCAAAAAGTATAATGAAATTGGCAAAGAAAAAGTGATCCTTATATAACTTTTTTTTTATTGAAAGTTGACAATTCCTTGTTAGGTCAACTCGATAAAAAACACGTTTCAAACCAATCAAATTACAGGAAATCTGTTATGTATAAATGCGAAAATCAGTTATAGCTTATCAGGGCTAATAATTTATCATAGTTTGTGACATGATACAGTATTAGTATTAGTATTATCAGTAAGTTTTGATTGGACATCCAATCTAACTTCTTTACCTGTTACGTACATACGTATGCAAAGCACTCCATTAAACTATAGCCTCTTAATTTACATTGGGTAGATTGCAATATTTTAATATTATATACAGTGTTGTACACGGACAATGTCCTGTGAAAATTTCAGGGACGCGGACAGTCCCGGACAATGTCCCACGTCCGTGATGGTGCCCTATATCACAAAGTTTATCAAGCGTTCTCATTGGCTAAAAAGGACACTCTTATTATAATATTTAATTGTCCGGGACGTTAACATTTTGGTGGACATGTCCGGGACGTCCCGTCCCGGACTGTCCATTGTCCGTGTCCCTGTCCTATGACAACACTGGTTTAAGGGATAGTTAACCCACCAAGGTTTTCTATATTACAGTTTTGGCAACGGCGACAGGACCTAATTCTCTGTGTCAATTGTGATTTTAAACCCATTCTTGAGTCAATACTTGGAAATTAACCAAGATTAATTTTTCTTTATATAGAAGTTAAAAATTATTTTTTTATTCACATTTCTTACTCTTGGCACATTATCAAGTAATATAGTTACTGTCACCAAAGTGACTATATTACAGTTTGGCAATGACGACTTAAAACTTCTGTGCTATTTGTGATTTCTTATTTTAATTTTTTTTTTATAGTTAAAATTATAAGTTATATTTTTTATATTAAATTTTTTTTTTTTCTTTTTTGTTCTTTTTCTACTTCTTGTTCTTTTTATTTTCTTTTTCTTTTTATTTGTCAGTTTTTCTTTCTTGTATAATTTTGTTTGCACTAATCACCTTCTTGTTACACACAGCATCTTGGTACTACCTCAAAAACTATTATTATATTTTTATATACCATAGTCTTTATAACAACTAGGTGATCCCAAAAATCACATTTTTGAGCAATATTATATGAAGACTTTTTTTTGGGTTTGTAATTTCTTATATACTGCTTCTTTTGCTTAATTTTAATACTACTTTTTATTTATAATTTCTCTTTTAAATACTTTTTTATATAAAATTCTTCTTTCAAATTTAAACTTATTAATTATTCTTTTGTATATAATTATAATATAGAGTGATAAGCTGAAATCATAAATAATACTCTGGCAAGTATTAGCTCTATACTATAAATTTTATTATTATTATTATTATTATTTTGAAAATATAAAGTGATTGCTAAACTCATGAATAGTACTCTGGCAAGTACTAGCTTTATTATTTTCAGTTCTTTAAATTATAATATAAAGTGATAGCTGAAGTCGTGAATAATACCTTGGTAAGTATTAGCTTTATATTATAAGGAATCTAAAAAGCCAAATATAGCCATCGACAGTTTGTTTATTAGTACTTCTTCCTCTGGTTATATCTTAGGATATTTCTAAGTCTAAGTAGCTAATACTCCTTGGAAAACTAGTACATAAAGGTCAATAGATTAAACCTCAATCCCAAAGTCTATTGAAAGTCTTATAGTACCTTTGGAGGCTATTGAATTTAGGTTTCTATTGCTATTACTTTTTGTTTTTACTCTTATATTTTTATTTTTATTTTTATTTTATTTTATTTATTTTTATTTATTTTTATTTTTTTTTATTATATTTTATTTATTTGATTATTTATTTTTTTTGCCAAGTTTTTTTTTTTTTCTTATTTTTTTATTTATTTTTTTTAATAAAAGCTTTTTTACAAAATATTTTGATTTCTTGTGGAAATTTTTAAATCATATTCCAACAAACATTAAGTATAATAATTTGGTTGAGAAACTTGAAGTAGCAATTGATTTACTTCAATTTGGTTCACCTCTTAATACTGAGCAAACTAATTTTTTATTTGCATATTCTAAATTTTCTAGATTCTCTTGGGGAAACGGCAAATCTACTCCTTTGTCTAAGGAACTGTGGAACAACATACAAGTGGTTGATCCTGATTTTGATACACTTGCTCAAACTTCTGTTTATTATTTAGAGTTTCCTAATCCAGATAATCCTCAAAGAAACTCATTATACTCTGCCTGCTAAGAAAAACTCAGCTCCTGCTTGACATTTTTATACTGCAACTGAGTATACAGAGTTAAAATTATTCAAAACAGAAATAAGTAATAACATCTTCTCTTGTGACAGTATCTATTAAAATAGCAAGATGAAGCCTTGGAAAATATACAAGAGGCACAAAGATCACAAAAAAAATACCATAACAAAAATATTAAAATTGATAAATTAAAAATTGGTGATAAGGTTCTAGTTGCAAAATCTTTTCTAAAAAATGTTTTTTTTTGCTAAATTAGAGAAAAAATTTATGAGCCTTTATATAATTCATGATATATTAGAATTTGGTGTTTATAAACTAAGAACTTTTGATGACAAAAAAGTTAAAGATCCAGTTTATGGTAACTGTCTAAAGCTTTACCATAATAGAGAAATTAAGGATCTACCGGTTCCTTAAGTTATTATAGCACAAGGCAATAATCTATAAAAATAGAATATATAACTTTTACTTATTATTTATTATTTAAAATATTTTAATAAAAAAAAAAAAAAAAAAAATTTATTTAAAAGTTGAAAAAAACGTTATTCTTATTTGCAATATAATTTTAATGATTTTTTTAAACAATTATAAGTTTGGACTGATAAAATTTTTTAAGACTTAAAAACACAATTAGTAATAATAATTGACAAAAGAATGCTATTAATAGTCAGAGCATAGACCAGAGTTTTTTATTTGCATATTTCAAATGACTAAATTCTGGTCATTTTTTCTAAATGACCGATAAATGACTAGGTCACTGAGTTATTTGAGTTATCTCAAGTCATTTGAGAACACTGAATTATAGAGCTTATTGGTAAATTACAAAAACTTCAATTTTTCACTGTGTGGCACGAAGATTACATATCAGAAGAAATTAAGAAATTCGCAAAAATATTGCCGTTAGCATTGCAATATCTTGACTCCGTTAAATTTATGTCTTTGCATTTTGCTCAATAATTGCTATGCACCTTTAAAAATGCTTTTAATTAGCAGTATTTATGAGGAACAAGCTAAAGCACTAATCGAATTCTGCATGAGAAAAGGAGGTTTGAATTACGTGGGTGTATTAAAATATTCGGATTTGAATGGTAATATTAAAAATGAAATGGAAAGAAACGTTGAAGTGGTACCATCTGAATGCATCATCGTTGATTTATAATTAACATAAATTTTTAAGCAAGTTATGTACAAAGTCAATATGATATTTTAATGTACATAATTAAATGTATATAATATGATGGCTGAAATATTTTATCATGTAATAGCTAGTGTTGAACCTTGATTTTTGAAAATCAAAATTTTTTTAATAAATATAATGATCGTATTTTGCACTTTTTGAAGCCCGAAACATTTCGTCAGTGTAAATATTTCAAGTTTATTGAATGAAAATGTTATTAGTTGAGTTGAGGACCTCACCTCAACTAATAACATTTTCATTCAATTCCCTAAAACTACAATTAATATTACCAGATCTACATGACCAATCAAATGCAGCATAATCCTAATTTAAATTAACAACAATTCGTCCCAATGTAAACTTCATTATGACGAAATATTAGTTCCAAGAACAACTTCCTTAATCCGAATTAATGTCTATTGACAATTGCTAAGATAATCTGTAGTATATTCTTTAAAACCATACAACGGACTTTAAAGTTTATAATTTACCGAAACTAACCTCTGAACAATTCTGACTGGCGACATATGCTACGTAATTAAAATGCTAATAACTAAATTTGTTCTATAAATTATAAACTTTAGAGACTGCAGTCCGGTCTTCTTTTAGCAGCACTCATCTTATTCACTAGATTTGAAAAGTTATATCTTATGTTTGTATCAATCACGATTTTGTCGATTATTAATCAACCTGAGTAATTCTTTAATTTCCACCAATTAAAAAAACTTTACCGACACTTATTTTTATTTTTGTAAGTTTAGTTCTTGATATTAGATATATGTATCAAATAGAGAAAAAATAAAATATTATCAGTAACGATTGAATTATTAAAGTGATAAATTTTGAGATTCTGGCCCAGTCAACTAGGGTCCTGACCATTTCAGAATTATCTGATATTTTGGAAAATTAAATGCTGGGCGAAACTAATTTTGGATTCGGATTAGGCGGAATAGTTTGGTTTCGCCCGAACACTATTTTGATCATCATATGACACTACACGAAATGACATAAAACCCTACCGCTACGTAAAATAAACGATTGTTTTGATTGTGCACACGTTGACTAAAAATTTACAAGAAAAACTTTTTGTAAAATTAATCAGAGGAAATTGTTACCTGAAGGCTCACCCGAACTTTTGAAACATTGGAGATTGTGGTTTATATTTTGTTTCTTTTGATAAATTACAAGAAGCCTTTATTTGGAATTTTTTGTCTATTTGCATGTATGTGTTTAATTAAAATTTTTACTTTGTTATAATAAACAGAGGTTTATTATTTTTACTAAAGTTAAAATCTTTACGTAGTATTTTATTACAAAAGCATTCTGTTATAAGATATTTGGTTGGGATACAATATAATGCACCTATTCAACCCTACCGAATTTGAAGAATTTTGGTTATCTTTTGTATTCCCCTTATAATGCCATGAGTTATCTTGTGGGGATTGTTTCTTGAAGAAGTGAACACAATATCTGAACAATCAGATGTATTTAATTGTTATTGAGTTTTTTTGTAAACGAGTTTTTTTTTTCTTGGTTTAACAAACAAACCATGGAAACGAGCGAAATGTATTTTGGACATGGGTGTAAGTAATTCTTGAATCTTCAGCAATAAATTATTCAATTTCTAACCAAACATTCGTTTTCTAGCACTTGTAATTAAGGTTTTTCTTTTTTAATATCAGATGAAACTTATGATGAATCTATAACGATTGATGAAGCATAATTGATGATCTACTACTCTGGAACTATACCATTCTCTAGCAGAAACCTTTTGGTATCAATTTTTTTCAACTACATCTGACGCAAGAGCCGATTTTATGATCTAATGTAACCAAAGAAATAATTAAGATTCGCGAAACTTTTTGGGAAGATTTTATTAGATTTATTACGTGTTAGACTTCATGATTTCTTTTAAGTTTAATTTAAAAATCGTACGTGTTTTAACTGATATTTATGACGAGCTTGCCTTTTCTGATTTGTGTTTTCTGTATTTTTTTAACATGACAATGTTTATTTATCAATATGTTTGCTTATTGAATGTGTGCCTATAATAATAAACCACAATGATCTAATTCATATCTGATGTTGGATCTCTGCTACTTATCGTACAGTAGTACGTTTGTAAAGTCTTTTCTTGAATAAAAAAATTTTCTACCTTGGCTTTGTCAACCGCCCTATAGTATGTAAATAGAGTATTTCAATGGTAATTTGGAAGTACGTGTAGTTAATGAAGCTTATAGCATTTAGCTTTTAGAGTGAATCCTTTTAATGGTTAGTTTAGGGAGAGCGTTACTATTATTCTTTTTCATGTTAAGATATGGCGCAGGTGAAGTCTTCTTTGCTTAAATAATCTTATTATTCTACGTATTTAATTAAAACTTGAGTTATTGTCATTCTGAACTAAAAATTTTGAAAACGTGAAAAAAGAATATTAATAGATCTTTGATATGAAGGAAATATTACTTTTTCGAAAATAAAAAAACGATAAAAAATGATGTTTCATTTTATTAAAATTTTTAAAACTTTTTAATTTTTAGTTGGCGTAAATTACTTTGTTGATTAATGGGCCACCAACCTGGCACACATTCAAGGGATACTTGCTTACGATATGTACATTTATGATTGTATTTGATACAGAGTAATTCTTATTTCTATCTTATAAACTACGTATTCTATTAAAAGTCACTACTATATTTTAAACCAAAGATTTGGTATCCAAACTTTGAACCTAATTTAGGTTCAATTCTGGCTATTGAACCTAAAATTTGGGTCGGTTGAAGCGGGAACCGAACATTCCTAAATTCAGTAGAGTATGGTTTAAAGGCTTTCACTACCTCCAACCAATTATACGTATTACAGTATTAGTAATACGTATGATTAGAACTTGGTTCAACTAACTAGACCGACCCAATAGCTAATGTTAATGTCTGATAATTTTTTTAGGTTGCTATTTATATACAACTTTATTTTTGGAACTTCTCAAAACTTTAAATATATGAAATACTGTATAATGCAGTGCAAACTTTGAATAACCATTTTAATTCTAACATATGAGCATTCGAAATGAGATTATAGTTAATAGCCCTAAAATATAACAGAATATAAATGAATACATACTTATAGCAAGTATACTAGCCACAATATCTCTAAGAACCTCTTCTCTATCCCTCCAATTCCTATGTGAAAGTTTTTGTGGAGATACCTCTTAAAAATCATCACATGCTGTTTTTTTCACTGGTTCTTAGTAATATACGGTATATTGTATAATCTTTGTTATACGTATAAACATAATTTTATTCATACCATAAAAGACTCGTCTGGTAATTGCTTAACCATACAGCATGTCAACATTATGTAATACATAAAAAACATACGCAGAGAATATTTTATTTTTATTGATAATCGATGGATATAACTCTAAACTCAATCAACTTTTCTGCCTCTTTCAACAACCAAACAATATGACCTAAAATTCTACGCGCTCCACTCTCCAATGATTCTAACTCCTTACTCCAGTCAATTATGGATCCAAACCTCGAATGAATGCTAACTTTTAGTTTATCATCTTCATTCACAGTACACTCGATAAAATACCACACAAAACTATCTGTAACAATTCCGTATGCCTTGTCAACGAACAGGTCTTCTATTTCTTCCATTTCGTTACGTTTTCGTTTCCTATTTTTCTATGGATCTATGATATAGCTTATGTTATTGCTAAAATTAAGCACAGGATAAATATTAGGGTTACCTACCTCGAGTGAACTATGAAGTTGCATAACGATCTGCGCCACGCCTTGATTAAAATTTTCATTCTTCACCACCACAACACCGACGATTATTCCTTTTAGGTATAAACAGAAATCCAGTGGTCCTTGCCCATATTTTCCCTGGATGTTATATTCTGGGTATAGTTTAACCATCCCATCAAATAGCAACGCTGCTATCACGAGAAATGGTACGATAAACTGGCTTTTAGTGGCTCTTGAACTACCACGGATAACTTTTTTACGGAGTCTAAGATCATTATAGAGATGCTTTAATAACTCCTCGGCTTTTGAATTTTCAAGACCGTCGACTCCACAATTAAACTTGGAAAATTCTTCGAAATAAGGTGGCAATTTGAACAGATCACAAACCGTTCCAAGTTTCCATTCAGAGAATGCTTTTTGTAATGTATATACTTGGACTTTAAGCGACAAAGACGAAGTCATAACACAGTATTCGATATATTCTTGGAAATTATTATTATCATTTTTAAATTCCCATTCTGCAGAGCTTTTGTCATTTTCTCTGCTAAAACGTAACGTCAAAATATCTGTTGTCGTATCTTGCGGAAAAGGCAAGTTGTCGAGAATTTCGTGCTTTATATCATTTAGTGATACACTGGATAGGTCCACAATCCAAGGAAGCGACTTGCGATGCATCCCATGCGAAATTTTAATTGAAAATTCTATGAAAAATTTTCAGTATTAGATTAGGAATGGATTATATACATTGACTTATATAAACCAAACATACCTATAATTACTTGACTCGAAATACTTTTAATCACTGGTGGACGTTCAATAATGATACTAAGGCGATATCGATATTCTTTTGGAACATCAGGGAAGTACTCGTTAATTTTCTTAAATGCATCAAGCCTCATCCCTTCTAAGTGTTCTTTAATTACGGCACATTCTTTGTTTTCAAGTACTTCCAACTTTTCATTGGGTCTATCGAGCGTGACATCTACTTTCCATAACTTTAGTTCTTTATAGTCACCTACAAGTTCCATAAGTTTCATTTTTATAGCTTTTTTGAGATCATTTACGTGTTCATTTTTATTAATCCTGATAACAAAAATGTTATCATAAGGGTCTTCGCCTTCAACTAAACAGTTTATATCCATCATTTATATTCAATCAAATTTCCATACCCGAATTTATTCAATTATTAGATGCGCTAAATTTTGTTGATGCGCGTGATGTTAAACACGTGATGAGATTCATGTGAATAATTCGTCGCGTGATCAAAAATTTTCTTAGCAAAAACATAGCCAATTTGTAAAATGATTTTTACAAGTTTTAGAATTGGGTTAAAAAATTTTTATTAAATTTATTAAATTTATTTTTGAATTATTTTGTTCAAAGTTTTAAAAAAATTTACTTGGAAAAAATTTGGTGTGCTTTATTGATTCACCCCATATTCATGGACGTCTAATATAACAAGGGCTTGATTAGATGGTTTTAAATGGCTAGTACGAATAATCAAGCATACTATTAATTTTTTATTTGCAGAGTTGTTTTCAATAATTTTACGAATTTTTTTGATTGATGATTTGATATAGCAGGAAAGATTTATATTTTATTAATTTCATTTGATTTTTGCTTTACTTGTACAAGGCCTAAAAACTTTATTTTTCACAAATAACAAAAATATATAATGAGCATGTCACGGGTGCAGTAAATTACACTTCGAGGCATGAATCATTTTAGCAATTATATTCTTTATATCATCCCAAGACATGTTCGGAATAGTTGATACAGGAAAGATTCTAACTCTTTCTATCATTTCTACCTTTATTTTATCCTTATTGATGCTACTAAAAAGGCCATAAATTTTCTAAGCTCTTTCAATTCTCTTTCGAAGAGCTTCTTGTGAAATATCTTTGGGAGCTGTTTCGAACGTCATCAGCAACTAGAGACTGGGATGAAAATCCCCATGACTTAAATCTCTATAATAATCATACAGTTAGATATCTCTAAATGCATAGCCGTGGGGTGGCCGAAAAAAAATCTTGCATTTGGGAGGTAAAAATCCACAAGTGTCATATGAGTTGGCCAAATAAGGCCATGCATTTAGGCCGTTCTCAAGCACCTCACTCAATGGATCGGACGTAAATTTTTAATTAGTCGGAAGTTAAATAAATCAAT